AATTTCAGCTAAATGCAACTAAGCTTTCAGATCCTCAGTGGGTATAAATCATAAGAGCTCTGCTAATGTCAGAGAAATTAGGCTAGTTCATGCCAGCTGCGAACCTGCAAAGCTAGATTTCCTGTAGCACAGACAAGCAGAATTCTCACACGAACTCCTCAGAGCCTTCTCCAGGATCTTTGAAAGGTTATCCTAGCACTCCTTAAGACACTTGCATATTCTGTGACAAAGGGCATACTGCAGTCATTTATTAGTCCCTGAGCTGAAGTGAAATAAAAGTCTTATGTAGCTTGATGAAATAGATAATGCTTCATAGACTTACATGACTAACACTAGTTCAAAACTTTGCCATGGTGAAGATTGTAATAAGGAAAATATACATATATGGAACAGGAAAACCTACTGTTCAAGTTCAGATAGCCTTGTGGAGAATTACTGTTGAGATGGAACTTTTGCTCCACCTCAAATCCAGTGTCAGAAAATATTTGAACTGTGACAAATAGATAGAGATTAAGCTGTAGGGAAAAATAAAGATTAGATTATTCTTTTAAAAACTTAAAACTATTATGCATATGTGATGAAGAGGACGTAGATAATTTATTGAAATATAGACAGGAAAAAAAGGTATAAAGAATACAATTAATGAACATTTTTCAAATAGCAATATAAACATAATGTTCAAGTCAAAGTCACATGAAAATTAGACTAATCTTTAGATGCATTCTATACCTGTATGTACAGCATATTTATACTAAAAGTTGGAATATAATCTCCAGAGTTGCAACATATCTAGATTACCTAAACAGAATCTAGATTAAGTAAACAGAAATGAATGCCAACAAAATAAAAAGAACAAATACTCAAATTTCTTTCAGACTGATAAGAAAAATCGATATGTTAAAATAATGGTAGAAGATAGCCAAAAAACATGAGAACTTATTTGTAATTAAAAAAAAAAAAGTGCAGATCAACAATAGTTTCATTTTCTTATTTCCAAACAAAATCTAAGGTAATAAAGTCTACTTGTGCCTGGGAGTGATTTCAAAAGTTTTAAACTTCTATGGGACCTCTACACACTCATTTTGTAGTACTAAAACTATTTCCGTACAGAAGATGCCTTCAAGCAGAACACATTTTTCAACAATTTGAATGAAGAAATACAACTCACTGAGAATGAAGGCTTGATGGAGACATCACAGTTATTTGTCCACATAAAAGTTTTTCAGCAACTTCTACTAAATCACAGTGATATGAAAACAGTGAATAAATGTGTTTGGTTTCAGTCTCTACACCATTTCTTCCCAGTATCAGCAGGAGGAAAGCAATCAGACTTCTGTAACACAAAAACCAATAGTAAATATCAAGAGGAAGTCATTAGGCTCTACACTACAGTATTATGGTTTAGATCCAAGTGAAAGATGCACTATTATTATACTTTCTTTTCAGAGGAGTTAATCTTAACTAAGTGTCACTAAGTACAATCAGTATTTTTTCTGTTGGATATGTCTTCTTCATCAGTTTGTTTGTATATAACTAAAATATCCCAGAGAAAAATAGTATTGCTTCCCCTCTTGCAGTTTTTGCAATTATGGCATGCTTTTTTTTCACTCCGGAAAAAAATTGGTCAACTCCACTGCAGTGGATATATATAGCCTGAAGCCTTTTTTTCTGCTAGCAGTAAATACAGTGAATGTAACAGCCCCCTAATGCTGAACATTTCGACATGTAACTAATTCAACTATCTGAATGACTATTTGCAGTGGACAGATTTCCCTGCTTATCGAAATAGAACTGAGGCCTAAATACTTAAGCATTTTTCTACTTCCGATCTCTGGCTGTGAAAAAAATATAAATAGCCCCTCTCAGGAGATTAGTCCTGGAACTTTATTGAGCTTGCAGGTACGTACAAACAATGTCCTAATAAATAGTTACTGAATGGTAAATAAAATGCATTCAAAAGATATAAAATCATGATTATTACTTCCATTTTTGTATGGCTTCAAAAACAGATGTTTTTTGCCTTACATTTTGAGAATAAAAAGACATGAAATACAAGAGTAAGTTAAATGGATAGAAATACAAATATACAACAAAAGAAAATTTCTTAAACACAGTTAAAAAAGATACAGAATATTGGAGTCGGACATACAGGAGGTCAGAAGAGTGCTACAATACAAGTAAAAAGGAGATCTTAGCCATGTATGAGGGGGTTTGAACTGCTTCTGAAATAACTGGTACTGAAACAGAATCACAGAATCACAGAATCACAGAAACACCAAGGTTGGAAAAGACCTTCAAGATCATCCAGTCCAACCATCCACCTATCACCAATAGTTCTCACTAAACTATGTCCCTCAACACAAAATTCAAATGTTCCTTGAACAGGGTTGGTGAATCCACCACCTCCCTAGGCAGCCCATTACACTGCCTGACCACTCTTTCAGAGAAGTAGTATTTCCTAACATTCAGCCTAACTCTCCCCTGGTGCATTCCCTCTAGTCCTAAATTTCCTTCTAGCACCTAAACTGCCAGTGTCGAACTGAATGTTTAAAGGAAAGGTTCCTTCCACCCATCATGCTACTGATGCTACTTGGCACTTGCACACAGTGTGTGTGCAGATACTTCATTCAATCAAGCAGCCTGAAAGGTCAAGGAGGAGGATGAGCTCTATAAACGTCATCCATATTCTGAGAGCTGCAGCTGATGTGAGATGAATGTCAGGTCCCAAGAGAAATTATATAGGTCGCTCTGAAAGTAATGTCTCCTATGTACTTCCCTCAGTCAAGGCAATCTAATCTAGTGGGTGGCAACTCTGCCTATGGTAGAGGGGTTAGAATGGGATGATCTTCGATGTTCCTTCCAACCCAAGGCTTGGATCTGGAGTAGGGATGACAAAGGGATCATCTGAACTACAGTCCATTGTAATTCTAATTCACAGAAAAAAATTACCAAAAGATCTCAGGTATATCCCCTGGCTTCCTGCTCTGTTAAATCTGGCTATAGAGGTAACACTGGAGAAAAATAATGCGTATTTTCTTCCTGTAACTGTTTTGTACTCCAAATTTCTCCTGGGGAAAACACTATATCCTGTCACCCCAATTCAAGTTCTTCTTGAAGATTCCTGATGTTAATTCAGAGAAGTGTCTAGTTAGTGAAGTAGCCTGAGCCCACCACATGGAGAACCACCAGTGGGTATAGACGTTATCAGGTACTGAAAATATCACAGAAGGACATGAGTTCCTTGTTTGGTGCATCACTGGAAAGCACGTAAAGAAATTTCTGCACAACGAAAGCCACAAAGATAAAAACGAAGTCTTTAAAATGTAAGAATGCTGCTCTGTTTATGTGGTGTAACTAGTTTCAAGACAGGTATTATAGTGCTCTGTTTGGAACAAGAGTTAACAGGAAAGACATTTGTCCCTTCTCCCCACCCTCTTTCCTGCCCCTCCCCCCTTCCCCTACCCCTCCCCTCCCCAATAAATAGATAGATAGATAAATAGATAGATAGACAGACAGATAGATAGATAGATAGATAGATAGATAGATAGATAGATAAACAATATTTTAAAAAATGCTACTAGATATTTTGGCACCAGAAATGTGAGAGAGATTTCTCCACCTTAGAAAGACCTTCTGTTCTAAGAGGAAAGGCTTAGTTTGCTTCTTAAGTATCTACAAGAAGTAAGATTTGGACTTTCCGCTGTTAATTGACTTAGGCAACTTTTATATTTGTTCTGTCCATGACTCACTTAGATGCCAATCGTGTCATATTTTAAGTAAGATCAGCACCAGATGGAGAGTAAACAGACTTGCTTATTAAGGGATTTTATAAAAAAATGTAATTCAGCAAATATACCTCTGAAACATAATGTTGATGTTGAAGAGTCTAACAAGCTTTCCTCAGAAACTACCTGATAGTAGGGTAACTGGCTTCAGTTTTAAATTCTCAGCAGAGATTATCAGTATTCTCTCCTTGAACTGTGCTCTACCAAAAACTGAACACTGAGTTCAATTGAGATCTCTAGGAACTCAGCAGCACAGCTCCAACAATCTTCCACTGCTTTGGAAGGGAGCTTTGCCTTTTGTTTTTGAGAAAGACACTGTCAATTAGCTAAACTGCATTCTTTAACTGCCACAGTCAGGATTAGATTAGCTTTTTTTATCCTGTGTGCGCAGTTTAATTAAAACAGCCCTGATATGTCCTTCACAACGAGAGAAATCATCCTGAGGCATCACTCTTCCTCTCTCCCTGCTTTTGCACAGACTAAATGTGAACGTAATCCTGTGGAAACTGGGGAGGAAGACCAGGAACACAATAACATCGGGAAAATAAAGAGTTTGCTGAAACAGTATCAACTTGCTCAATGTTAAGGTTCCTGCTCCTAAAGCAACTAATTGTCTATCTGCAAAGGCAAATTCAGGCTAGCAACATTGTGTCTGACAGAATATAACTTTAACCAGTGTTTCTGGAGCCTGTAGGAATTGCTGTCTTTTTGAGCCTTACAGAAGCTGTCAAACTAGCAGGACAGTTCACTAAGACTGTCTCACAAAGGGCTTTGATAATTCTTCAGAGAACTGAAAGAGAACAAAGGACGATGGCATATTTCAGTAGAGCTCCACTCACCTGTGGCCAAGACTTGCAGTTTTGCTTTCATGGCAACACATGAACGTTTCCTAAACTATAAAATAATCAGGCCCAGAATGGCTAATAAACCCATACAGCCCTCAGTGGACTCTTTCATCATTCATTGTGTTTCCTCATAACTTACAGTGCTCACTAGAATAGCTTGGCCTCCTAAAATCTACAGAAACAACAAGAGCAAAACTTCTAGGTCATAATGTCCAGTTCCTATTCAGGGAACAGTCTTACAGTGAATGTGGCAACTGTTTGCTCCTGTAAAGTCCGCTCCTGCTTTAAGGAAAGTTGTCACAATGGGTCCCCAGTGATCTCAATGGCATTGAGAGATGTGTCTGTGCCTGTTCTGGAAATAAAAGACCTGAGCACCATGAGATATGTCTATACATACAGTTCAAAGAGAAGCTAACCAGAAAGTTATGTAACTTGACAGCAACCACTTTGGCTCAGTGCTCTGCTTCAGTTCCTGACAAAACCAGAAATGTAGCCTTCGGTACCTGCTAAATGAAAGCTTGTGATCACTGTGAAAGCGACAAGCAAAGGTACAAAGATGTCAGGCTACATGTGGAAAGGAAAATGAAGCAAAAAAGGTAAAGTTGTCTTCACATTAATTAGTAGATTAGCCCCATTACGGATCTTGTGAACAGCTTTAGGTGCTGGAGTTCAAAGCCTATGAGAATGCTTACAGAAAATATGCCAATGATACAGGGCCTCGATACACAGTCAAACTGACCGTTCTAGGAAAGACTGGGTTCCCTGATATAAAATATGCCAGGAACATTCAGTAAAATATGTGGCAGAAAGTTTAAAAACAGGAAATAGTTCTTTATATAGATTGTAATTGAATTATGGAAATTAGTGATGTGAAATTTCCGTGGCAAAAACTTAGCTGGATTCCAAAGAGACAGGGCATTGAGAAAAATATCCAGACTATCCATACATACAAACTTCAGGCTGTAAAAACTTGGAACAGATTGTTATTCCAGCTATATTCTCAAATACTGAATATTAGCGTGGTGTTATACAATGTCTTTAAACATCACTTTGTCACTTAAACTTCTCAGATAACTTTCTTAAGGAAAGCCACAAGTCCCATCTGCATCAATTCTTCCTACCATCTCCTACTGAAAGTAGCATCAATGCCGCTTGATTCTACATTTGTTAAAGCCAGTGCATACATTTCAATTTAATTCAATAGCAGAGGATTAGGCCTTCGTAGCCCAACACAACTGAAATCAAGAAAGAGTGCAGCAGGCATTTCTCTGGCCCAAATTTCAGATGATCAGTGTATTTTCCTGCTAGGAAAGGTAAAGTATTGTTCAAACTTCTCAGGATTAAGTTAGTCTTCATTCAATGGCTATTAAATCTGACAAGAGACACGACATACATACATATTGAGCAGTGTGGGTCATTTTCAGTCTTACCTGTGCCTCGTCCTGAGTTATGCCAACTGCCTTCCACACCTATAGATAGCAAATGGAATTTAGGGCCTGGAAAAAAGCGCATATATCAGCTCAGCACCTTGTGGAGCCATGCTCTTTGTTTACAGTGAATAACAGAGATGGCATGGCTACTTCTCAGTGTCTTTCCAGACTTACCAGATGATTCTTAAAAATGAGGATTGTCTCCCTATGGAAAGTCCAGTTAGTCCCTGCACCTCTAAAATAATAAACTTTAAATTTGGTTTGGTGTTCTGAAATGAACTAAGTTTCACTGAGTCAGCATTATGTTTATTTCAAATGTCATTATTCACCAATATGTACCATTCCAAGTAATCACACACCAGATCTATCTTTTATTTCATTCAGTTCAAGTTTTCCAACTGCTCCCGCGTCAACAAAGCCTTTCAACTTTATAAAACCCTATCTCCAATACGTGGTCCTTCTCTACAGAAGGAAATTAGCTGAAACATCTTGGTCTGAAGATCCATAGGAATGTCTCTTTTACAGGCACTGCATTTTGCCCAGACAAATGTAGCTGTCACTAAAACAGGCTGAAATACTGCCATGGAAACTGCAAGACGATTCTCAGAACATACATAGACTGTGTCAGTGCCTCAGTTACATCTCCCTCCTTTCCTATGATTTATCTGCTACAGAAATAGCAAAAATTGAAGTCCCACTATTTGGGGATTTGCCTTTTTATTTATTTATTTATTTATTTTCTGTAAGGTATGTTTTTGTAAGACATTCCTTCTATTTAGCCTGTCTGCTTAAAGAATTATTTTGAAAAGCTACTAGGCAGATGGTCCCCAAATGTGAGTTAATAACTTGTATGTAGTTTTTGTGGAAGCTTTTTGAAATCCCTTCATGCAAAATGATTTTGCAAACTGCCATTCTTTGGCTTTGCTGGCAGACCATTTCAAAATGGTCAAGAGAAAACGGCAGATTACATTCTATTTGTATTGCACCAGACTGTTATATTTTACAGTGGTGAAAGAGGAACAAAATCATTCACAAAGCTTTTGCTGAAGATTTTTATAGAATTTGGAACCCCTTGCCGGCTACAAGGACAGGTTCTGTGTGCCTCTGTCCCTCTTCTGCAGCCCTTCTGAAGCATTACTTATCACTCAAAATAAGGCTGCTTTTTCAGAAAACAGTACAGTCAGGGGATTCAGCAATCATGAGTCAAACTCCACAGCATTAACAGACTATTTTAAAAATCAGATTTAAAATGTGGAGCTCTTCCAGTCTGCCTTTGCATTGTTACAGGTGCTTCATTTTTTTCATGGTAAAATGTTAGAAATTGTCTGATATGGGGATTTTTGTCTGAGTTTTTTTAACAGATATCACAAGGAATCCGTCACTACACCTGTGATAAAATGCTGCTATCTTTCTTAACAATTAATTAATTCCCACAAAAATCCTTCCATGTATTAATCACCAAAATTTAAGGGCCCTGCCCTTAAACTCATCCGTAAATTTGATCCAGTACATTCAAATAATCAAGTAAGAGCTCCAAATTGATAGTTAACAGCGTGTTAGTCTTTCCCACAGATACAGCAAAACCTTCTACTACAAGGGAACAGAAAATAACACTTCCTTCTGGACTGAGCCAAAGACTGGAGGGTAAGGAACACATTTCAAGATGTGTTTTACATTGTTCCTTCTTAGAATTCCTATATTGATAATACATGTGTATCTATCTATCTACATATATTTAAATCCCTGCTCTTTTATTTCTCACAAGGAGAGGATGAGAGTACCAATATGTGAAAGTTGTGGACCATACTTCTTGCAGCGTCACTGGAGGAGTCTCAGGCACAGAATCAGTAATGAACACCGTATAAGAAAGTAAACAGATGGCATGGGTTAGACCGAAAGAGTGAAGTCTAGATTTAAACACGTTTGCAGATAACACAGCAGAGTGCATATAACTGCTGTTCCATTAGAGAGCACTAAATTAACAGTAGTTCTGGCCAGTTGTACCTAACAGTGTCATTGGAGTATATAACTGTAAACCAGGATGGCAAAAAGGACAACGTGGTCCTTAAAATGAAGAAGTTAGTCTCCCAGAAAGGAAGTGTGCCTTCCATTCTCCACCCTGATGATGTTAGATACTAGGCGAGTAGTTTGGGACTTAGTTGTGCTTTTCAGTTCCGATATTAAACACGGCACATATGCTTTGCTTTTCTTCTATCAATTCTCAAAACAGGCCAAAAAAAATTGTAGCAAAAGCTACCACTGGCCCACATTTATTTTGTTCTACCAGGGCTCTCCCTGGTGAAGAATGTTTGGAGAGCATGTGGGTGAGAATGAAGGTGTGGGCTGGTATGGCTGACATCATTGTGGAGATGTACTACAGGTCACCTGATCAGGAGGATGAAGTCACTGAGGCCTTCTAGAAGCAGCTGGAAGTAGCCTCGCAATCCCATGCACTGGTTCTCATGGGGGATTTTAATCATCCAGATATCTGTTGGGTTAGCAACACAGCCAGACACATGTGGTCCAGTCGGTTCCTGCAATACGCAGAAGATAATTTTCTGACACATGTGGTAGAGGAGCCAATGAGGCAGGGGGTGTTTCTGGACTTTGTTCCATCCAATAGGGAGGGACTTGTTAGGAATGTGAAGTTTAGGGGCAGCTTGGGATGCAGCAATCGTGAGATGGTGAAGCTCAAGAACATGAGTGAAAGAAGTAAGGCAAAAAGTAGGGTTGTAACCCTGGACTTCCAGAGAGCTAACTCCAACCTTTTCTGGGGCCTACTTGGAAGTATTTAATGGGCTAGCATGTTAGAAGATAAGGGGGTCCATGAGAGCTGAGCAACATTCAAACGGCATTTCTTCCAAGCTGATCGGTACATCCCTAAGAGTAGAAATCAGGGAAGAGAGGCAGGAGACATACATGAATGAGTAAGGAGCTCATAGATAAGATCAAAAAGAATAAAAAGGTCTATGAAATGAGTAAAAATAGCTTTTTTGCTAGAGAGGAGTATAGGAGTGTTGTAAGGGCCTGCAGGGATATGACTAAGTAGGATGAAGCCCACTTGGAGTTAAGTTGGCCAAGGAGATAAAGGATAATAAGAGTTTTTGCTGTTTGTTTGTTTTTTAAGTATGTCAAAAGTAAAAGGATAATGTGGGTCCCCTGCTAAACAGGGGGGGTGTCCTGGTAACAGGGGAATGCTGAAAATGCGGAGATGCTGAATACCTTCTTTGCTTTAAAGACTCCCCTCAGGACTCCTGGACCCTGGAGGGAAGAGAGAGAGTTTAGGAAATGGATAGCTTCCTTCTGGTTGAGGAGGAGGTCTGGGAACAGAGAGGGATGAGTGTACAAAAATCAATGGACAGTATACATCCACTTGTGCTGAGGAAGCTGGCAGAGGTGATTGCCAAAGTGCTCTATTTCAACCAAACCGCTCTATTTCATATTTGAGAGGTCTTGGAGAACAGGAAAGGTACCTGAAGACTGGAGCATAGCCGATGTCACTCTGGTCTTCAGAAATGTCAAAAAGGAGGATCTGGGACAGTATAGGCCAGTCACTCTCACCTTTGTTCCTCAAAAGACAATGGAACAGCTTGTTCTGGATGCCATCTCCAAGCATTTGGAAGAGAAGAAGGTCACTGACAATAGTCAGCATCAACTGAGCAAGGGGAAATCATGCTAGACCAATCTGGTAGCCTTCAGAGATAGCACCACCATCTGGGTAGATAGGAGGAGAGCAGTGGATGTCACCAACCTTGACTTCAGCAAGGCTTTTGATACTGTCTTCCATGACATCCTGATAACAAAGCTGAGAAGGCATGTAATAATGAGTGGACGGTGAGGTAGGTTGAGAACCGACTGGCTGAGCTCAGAGGGTGGTGATTGCTGGTGCAGTGTCTAGCTGGAGATATGTGACTAGCAGTATTCCCCAGAAGTCATTGCTGGGTATGGTCTAGTTCAACATCTTCATTGACAACCTTGATGAGGGGATAGTGTTCACCCTCAGCAAGTACACCCATGACACAAAACTGGGAGGAGTGACTGACATACCTGAAGGCTGTGCTGCCATTCAGCAAGACCTGGACAGGCTGGAGAGCTGGGCAGTAAGAAAACAGATGAGGTTTAACAAAAGCAAGTGACCTGCTGGAGAGGAGCTTTGCAGAGAAGGACCTTGATGTCCTGGACGACAGGCTGGCTATGAGCCAGCAGTGTGCTGTGGTGGCCAAGATGTTCAATGGGTTACTGGGGTGCAGTAAAAGGAGAGTGGCCAGCAGATCAAGGGAGGTGATTCTCCCCCTCTACTCTGCCCTCATCTGGCCTCGGCTGGAGTGCTGTATCCCGTTCTGGGCTCCCCAGTACAAAAAAATACAGGGATATTCTGGAGAGAGGGCCACAAAGATGATAAGGGACCTGGAGCATTTTCCCTATGAAGCTGAGTGACTTGGGTCTGTTCAGCCTTGAGAAAAGAATATTCAGAGGTGATCTTATTAATGTTTATTAATAATCCTAAGTATCGGAGAGTAAGGGACAGGGTTAACCTCTTTTCAGTGATCTGTGGGGATGGGACTAGGGGAAATGGCCATAAACTGGAACATAGGAAGTTACGTACTAATATGTAAAGAAACTGTACACACTGTAAATGTGACAGAGCACTGGAACAGGCCGCCCAGGTAGATTGTGGATTCCCCTTCTGTGGAGATATTTAAGATCTAGCTGGATGTCTACGTGTGCATCCTGCTGTAAGGGACCTGTTTTGCAGGGGGGTTGGACTCAATGATCCAACAATTCTGTGATTCTGAGATAGCATGATGGATAATTGTTTGGTCAGTAGGGAGTATGAACAAACTGTCATCATAGTGTTTCATGCTTACAAAAGGAAATTTCATGAACAGTTATTCAGCTCATGGAAGTAAAGAAACTGTAGTTAGAACTGCTGCTGTGCTGGGATGCTAAAGAATGTCCAAGCCAATGAGCTTGAACTCTGCCTATTTATAGTCCAATACAAAACAGCTAGCCTTCTTGTAAACTCTTGCCTCTCTTCCTTCTACCTCTCCAAGCGTTCCACTGGA